GATCAATTCGTCCAGTATTCGACATTCAAGTGTAAGGGGCTGTACATTTTCTACAAATTGTGGGTGGCAGCCAAGATCCTCGACATCAACAAAGACGAGATGAAACAGCTGGTCAGCGATCGCAAGCATCCGGTGGGTGACATTATTTACAGATGTTTCTCCCTGGCATTCAACTGCAAATACATATCCTTCACAAGGACCGAGTTGAACCTTGGTAAGCATGGGTATGTGGTTGACGTGAGCGCCATCATCGCGGCCACAGATTTGGGCAAGTGTGACGGACCTCTGCTTGATTGGTGCGTGCGACAGGGGCACTGGCTTGCGGACGAGCATTACCAGAAATACCTCCGCGCACGAGCAGCCCAACACAACTTGGACGAAGAATTCCGACGTCGCATCACAAAGTTGGCCATCGTGAATTGACCTGTGTGATGCAATTATGGATTATTGTTGCATTTACGGCATGGTGCGGACCAGTGCCCATCAATTGCCAGCAACATATTGATTCTACTATGATGTGCTTTGCTGCATGGTGAGGGCCTGACCCCATCCATCGCCAGCATCACACCATTTCATGACGACGGAATGATTCCGATATGATGTGATTTCATTTGTCCAAGGTACATGGTTATGTATGTATTTACATATTCCGACGGCTATGGCATTCTGGATATCCATGGATGGACACTATTACCTCATGGATGATTTCATTTCCTTATATTATTCGTGGTGTCCGGGATTGCTATGTTTTGCATATATATTGCTCGCCAAGTTTTCTTTGCCGGATATATATACAGATGACTCATGGTCATGCACTGCTTTGGAATTCTATGGCCAACCCATTTCCATGGATGACGGCTGCGCGATGCGCAAATGCGGCAGCTGGGATTTCCGATGGCTGTGTTGTGGCATGAGGCAGAATGCCTCTTGTCTCTGTGTGTGGGATTGTGCTGGAATCTGAGGATGCACGTTTTTTGATTTAATCGAACCCGGCCAAGTTTCACAACGAATGAATGGCGTTGCAGTAGAGAGTGAAAGAATGTTCGATACGGTTTCGTAGTCAGAGCCGTGGCCATTGGGACATGTTGTGATGTTTGGACCGCATGATGAACGATGCGACCCAAATGGGGGATGTTGAAACCCTCTAGGCCCCGTGCCAATTTGGGAAGCTGTTCTGAGGTCCATGTTCTTGTTGGTTGAGAGCTCCCTTTGGAAACCACATTTGGCTCAAGTCACAAGTAGGGCTCAAGGTCTTGCATGAACTACGTTCGCCTGTGATCGATCTGTGAGAGAGAAAACAGGTTCATTCGCGCTGCTGAGATCGGACGTGTGTACGGTTATTGGACAATACCCCCTTACAACAGTTTGCACTGGTTTGGCTATAACGGTCCTCCCGTATATCCTTTCTACGTGGTTGAGTACATTCAGCTGGACGTCACCTTGCCGTCTCTTGACAACTTCCGTCTACATCGACGTCAAGTTCACGACCACTACCGGATAGTCCTATGGCTACTTCACCAACCGGACGACAACATCCACCACTACCAGCACCACCTCGACAAACACTAAGACGTTTAACTCCGGAAGAAGTAATGCAACCAACCAAAGCACAGAAGACCTCAAAGGACACTACAATCAGATCAACGGAGCAAGCAACCAAAGATTCACAACCACTACGACAGAAAATCAACACAGTGACACTTCCCAACGGAACATCCATCACTCCCTACACAAACGACGACACCTCAGAAGACCAACCCATAATCTTCGACAACAAAGGTTATGACGAAACACAACTATTGGAAGGAATGAAACACGAGTCAAACCAAATGAAACTACACGACGTCTACGACGAAGTAGATGCGTCTACCGTCGATGACAACATCCTAAAAGAAGCGATACCTACAAGATGGGTACACAGAAAGAAAGGACCAGGAGTACGAAGCCGAATCGTCGCAAAAGGCTACACGGAGAAGATCGAGGACGAAGACCGTCTACGCCTCTACACCAATGTTCACGACACTCCGGACACTTCTCGCACTACAAATGTCACGACCAAACTGGATCGTGCGACTAGGTGACGTCTCTACAGCATTTCTACACGCCCCCATCGCAAAAGATCATGACGGTAAACAACGTGACGTCTACCTTTGGCCACCTAAAGAACTTTGTCCACAACAGGACAAAATCTGGCGACTAAAGAAAGCCATGTATGGACTACGCAGTTCACCAAAAGCATGGCAGGACTACCTGGCTGAAGTGTTACAAAAGCTCAGCTTTGTAAGACTAAAGTCAGAACCTCGACTTGCGACTGCTACATCATGGTCTACGTGGACGATCTACTGGTACTTGGAGACAAGACTGCGGCCGATTCGGCCGTCCAGAAGCAGGTCCTACTCAAGCACATCGGCTACCTCGAACCTGGCAAACCACAACAATTTCTTGGAAGAAACATTGACCACTTCGGCAACTACTGCAACCTAGGACTAAAGGACTCCTACATCAACAACATGATCGAGGAGTCTGGAATGACCAACTGCAACACAGTGACCGCTCCCAGGAATCGCCGACTACAAACCAACAATAGAAGATGAAGCACTTCTTGACCACGAACATCACAAAAGGTACAGAAGGATTGTTGGCAAACTTCAATGGTTAGCGCACACACGACCAGACATCGCACACTCTACAAAAGAACAAGCACGAGACCTCACAGCACCTACAGAACTTTCACAAAAGAGAGTCAAACACTTACTGCGCTACTTGCACGGCACCAAGCACTACAAATTCACCATAGAACCAACAACAACACTCAGAGCAAACACCAACAACATCCTGGATCTCGACGTTCATGTCGATGCCGACTGGGCAGGATGCCCCACTACCAGGAAATCAACTTCAGGTTGCAACATCATCTTTTTGTTGCATTTGGCAGCAGAACACAAGCTACAATGGCACTCAGCTCAGCAGAGTCTGAACTCTACGCTCAGAAACTTCCTACTTGAAACCAACATTTTCAGCAAGCTAAACCTACGCATCCACACAGACTCCACAGCAGGCAAGAGCATTGCTACACGACAAGGCACTAGCAAACGAGCAAAGCACATCGACCTCAAATTTCTCTACACACAAGACCTCATCAAACACGACATCATCAGAATCCTTAAGATCAACACACTTCACAACAGCGCAGGTTTGTTTACCAAATACATCAGCAAAGAAACACTACACAGGCTCATCCAGAGCATTGGGATACGCATTTAGCACTACGAACGGCCAGCGCAACAGTTTCACAACAACAACAACAACGACCTTGGACATTTCTTGTATGTAAGTAGCTACATGTAACACGACACCTTTGGTATGTAAGTAACAGTAACTACATGTATTTTCACTTGCACTTTTGGCGGCTGAGTCAACACTACAGTTGTTTGTTTTACATGTCTGCATGCGCCGCCTGCCTGATAGCTACTACTTAGGCTCATTTTTTCCCGTTTCATTACATTTTGCATTCAACTGCAGCCATGGCCGCTCCATCTACTGCAGATGCTACGATGGGAGACGCAACTACGCCTGACAGGGCGACTACACCGGAGGTGGCGGTCACTACAGACTCCAGTGACCAAGGAACTCCACCCCCTCAGACCTACAACAAGTCCAACTACCGCTTCAATCACTCCACGCCTGCTACACATCACGGAGTACCAGACAACCACTACTCCACCACTGCCTGACAACACACCCTACACTCAGTTTTTCATTGCACTTACACTGGAAGAGTATCAACTACTCTCACAACAACAGGCAACTCCACTTTCACAACTGGACTACACACGACCCATTCACTGCATCCCTGGAGACCTCCGGATGCCCCACTACAATTCCACACTGCTCAGCGTTTCACTACCTGAAGCAGCCAACGTCCACTACTACCACACGACTTCACTCCGCACTACAACACCAACTACGTCATCATCCAACTACAGATTGGACAACAACTACTTCTCAATTATCTCACTTCAGGACAATTTCTCCACTTCACCAGAGACTACATTTCATACATGATGTCAGTACAACAGAACTACTACTTCCCAACTACACAACATCCACAGACCATCTACAAGGTGGACTACGACATGACTACCTTCACCGACAACTACAGCCTGAGGAATAACTACATTTGGAACTATCACATGCCACTACTTCTACCGGAACTACTCCACTACCTCTACAACCGCGACCAACTCCACGACTTTCAACACAAGGCAATTACTACCATCCTGTGCAAAAGCATCCAGTACTATGGCTTTACACTACTCACCATGACCAACCTTACCCAACACCACAAAGCACTACTACATCGTTTCCTTAGGGATTACAACCAACATATGTCGTGCCCTGAGATAGACGATGAGAGACTACGAGGCGCTCCAAACTACATGACAACCTTTTTCACCACCCACTACTACGCGACCTTGGACAGTCGACTACAGATGGTCCAAGCCTACCGCGCCCAGAACTGGGCACTACATGCTTGAGCTCCTGCTCTACCACAATGAGTAACTGCCTCACGAATTCCATCCAGCGCCACTACATCGAGCTGGAACATGAACAGCGTGAACTACTGAGTGCAGGTTACTACCTTTTTGTCACTACAGTAGAATTGATGAACAACAATGGTTTTCATCACTACTGTCAATCCATGTTTTGCACTTCAGTTGAAAAGGTACTACAAAGTACTACAAAGACCTTTTAACTGAGGGGCCGTGTCAAGCTACGTGCTACACTCCCTGCATTTGTGTTTGCATGTATGTTCACTACTGCAGGCCTTGAGCTCACTACATCGCATGAGTCAAAAGGATGGCAGCTGCAGACTACATTGGTTGACTGTTTGTTTGAGCACTACAGCACTTGCACTTGTAAGTAAAAGTAGCAACCAATTTTAACGAGAAGGAGAGAGCGAGAGAGCGAGAGAGCAAGAGAGGACTCTCGCGTGTTAGGAGATCTCTCTGGACTTCGCTGCCGGCCTCTGAGCGCACTCGCGGCAACCGGCCATGCCCAAAGCTGAGATCTTGGGCATCAATCGCTGTGGTACCACGTCGCTGCACTTCAACCTGGGACAGCACCCAGAGATTGCCTTCATGCGACCGGATGGGGAGGACTCAAGAGTTGAACGGGTGCTGGTGAGAGGCGCGCTTGCGAGGACACATTCCTGTTTCGGCACAAGAGCATCCTGCCGCGTAGAGAGGATGTTGAGGTGGGAAGGAGCTTGGAAGTGAGCGAGACAGCCTCCATTCGAGTCTCGGCCAGGTGTTTGGGTCGCGCTACGAGACCCACGGGACCCACGGCAAGCCTCGTAGCCGTAGCCGCAGCTCGGGAGAGCGTTGCAAAGTCTGAGGCCTTCTTGGCTACCGCCACTCCGGCCTGTATTCCAATGCCAGGCTGCTGTCCCTAGACTGGATAGTTTCGACAGACTCGACAGACTCCACAGACTCTCATTTGGATTCGCCCCTCGTTCGATGGGCTGCTCTGCAAAGGCATGGGCTGCAGAGCTGCTCAGCGTGCAAGTTGCGTCGATTTGCTGCGACTCAAAAGAAGAAGAAAAGAGGAAAATATCGAATCACGATGCGAGGAGTTCGGCATCTTCGGGGGATCCTCATCCTGTGTGAGCCGATGGGCCTGGGACTGACAGACTGACATCTCATGACTTGTCGAGTGAGTCGAGTGCTTGCAGCTGCTTGCCGCTTAGGTCGCTTGGAGAGATTCTTCCTGGTGGGGTGCCGAGTCGAGAGGCCTGAGGCCTGAGGCCACCGGCCCGAGGTGGACCACATGTGGCGGTGCTATGGCAACGAGGCCACGGCAGCCAAGTATCGGCCAGGCCCAATGGAGCTGAAGGAGCCTGAGCTATGTCAGCTATGTGTGGTAAATCGATGTTTTTCACGATCTTGAACGATTGTGCTCATTTTTTTCCTTTTTTTTTAGGGGTTCAGCCGGGTTTTGAACATGTTTGAGTCCGGTGACTCGACATTCGCGAGGACCGGCCACCCCGGTGCTGGCGAAGCGTCGCGGAAGCCCTGGAGGACGTGGCCGGGGGGTTTTTGTCCGAGGAGCACCGGCGGCAGCTGCAAACCAACCCGCAGCTCGCCTTGAAGCCTTCGGACGGCCAGCTGCTTTTTTCCCCCCTCACTTTCGGCTTTTCGGCTTTCTCCATCCTCGGATGTTTTTCGAGGAAGTTAGGAAGGACTTGTGTGCGCGAGTGCGCCGTGACTCAGGGAGGCAATGAAGCATCCGTTGCTGGAGCGCTACCATTTCGGCCAGCTGCTGCCAGGCATGGGGCATGCCGAAGGGTCCGTGCCAAGGGACCGAAGGGACCGAAGGGACCGAAGGGACCGAAGGGACCGAAAGGACCGACAGGAGCGAAAGGAGCGTCCGGGCTCGAGGCTTGCTGGAGCTCTTCGGCGATCGGCTGCTTCTTCTGCACCAGGACCCGGGCCGCGTCAAAGTGTTGAAACATTTCGAATCCGAGTCCGAGTCAGACTGGCGAGGACGCGTTGGCAGAAGCTCCGCGCCAGACCTACGATCGCCTGGCGCGGTTCCTGGGGGCGGCGCCCTTCCCCGCCGATGCCGCCGCCACAGCAAGAGGAGGAAGAAATATGCAACAAATAAACAAATATATGAAAGAGGGCAGATCGAGTCTTTGAGGCCAGGTTTCCGCGGAGGCAGGTTTCCTTTGCGTCCCATGAGACATGGATTTCTGGCCAGGAACGTGCTCTCCGGTCCTCGCACTGATTTATGTCTGGACCTTGAGCCGCTGCCGGAAGTTGTGAGTTGGAGAGTCGGAGGCGACAATGCGTCACTGGTGCACCACTTCAAGCGCCTCCTGGAGCCCGAATACCAGGCACGGGCACTTGTACTCAGCACGGGCGGCGCTGGGGGCACTCGCACCCATCGTTTTTGTATTCCTCTTTTTTCCCGCTCTCTTGCGCTCCCTTGGCCAGGCCATTGAGGAGGCGAGTTGCCAGGTTGCCGCAATCTCGTTTCGTGCAATTCGGACGAGCTTGTGCTTCTGCGGATCGAGTGAGGGCCGGAGCCATGTTTTGCGACCTGAAATGCGGGAACTGCATTGGCGAAGACCCCGTAAAGAGCACAATCAAGATCGACCTGGCACAGCTCCGGGAACGAGGGGGCGGAGTGCCCGCGGAAGCTGTGCCTCCTGTGCCCCCCTCGGGTGCGCCGGCGCCCCGACCCCTACGACCCCTACGACTGCCCCCCGAATGCGAGGCAAGCGCGGCGAAGGATGACGCGAAGGACGAGGCGAAGGGCGAGACCCGCGATGCGGAGGTCCACGGGCGCAAGCGCGGCCTGCCGACTCCGACGGTGCTCCAGCAACAGCTGCAGCAGCTGCAGCAGGAGCGAGAGGAGCTGCAGACCAAGCTGCAGCAGCTGCCAAAAACGAAAATTGAGCTATCAGCATTTCTGGAGCGTGAAGGCTTTGCCGGCGTCAACGAGCCAAAGCGCGTCGGCTTTTTCGGGTCCACCTATCCCTTGCACAAGGCTGCAGAGATGGCCGACGAAGACCTGGTGCGGGTGCTGTTGGCCGAAGGCGCTGACCCTGGCTTGACCAACTCCGCCGGCAGAACTGCCGCGGAGGTGGCGAAGAAGAAGGACCACTGCGGCTCCCACGCCATGGTTTTCAACTTAATAGTGGATGCCTCGAAGCGGAAGCCACCCAAAGCCGGTGCCTGAAAAAGGCCGTGCGAGCGCCATAGCCGAGAGTTGGTGAAAGGAAGGAAGGTACCTCGATCGTATCCCCACAAGATGGGACTGCTCTTCACACTGAAGCGACGCAAGCTTCGACGAATCGAGTTCGAGTGCTTCGCCAGGCACTGGTGATGACTGGTGAGGCCATCCCCCGAGATTTGCGCGCCAGGAGGTGCCGCTGCGACCGCCTGCAAAAGCTTCCATTGGGATCTGCGTCAACGTTTTCAGTCAGTCGCGAGTCACGTCTTCAGTCGTTCCCTTCGTTCCCTTCGTTCTCTTCGTTTTTCTCGGCTGTCTCGGCTCAGCATCGAAAAACCCAGGGCGGGACGAGACATCAAGCCGAGAGCCGAGAGCTCGCTCGTTATTCCCATTTCCGCCATGGCGATCAGCAACAAGAAGCTCCAGAAGATTATGACCGCTTGGCTTAAGCTTGGCCATCAAAACCTTAGGGCTCGGCACGGCCCCGGCCACAAATTGCACGTTTGAGGTTTTGCGGGTTTGTGGGAGACTTGAGAACCAGATTCTCTGCAAAAAAGAGGGGGGGTTCTCATTCATTCTCCAGTTGGGCCAAAGTCGCTTTTTGCCTTGAAGCAGAACGCAGGACGCTGCCGATCAATCAGATCTTCAGATATCTTCAGAACAGATCTCGTGTGCAGGCCCGATATGCGTGAGCTGTAGGTTTCTTCGGCTGCCGTGCGGGGGCTAGCCCATCAGCGGGGCTATCATGGGCCAGGTGTGGCTTCACGAGCAGGCAGATCTGAGGATCGAGGGCCGCATCCTGGGTTTTGACGAGTGCCACAGCTTAGTTCTGGTCTTGCAGTGCCTGGTACGACCTGTTGGCTGTCAGACTGATTCAGACTGACTTGAGGGCTTCGGTGCATTTTGCCCAGGTACATGAATCTTGTTATTGATGATGCGGAGGATCGGTTGGGCCATTCTTTCATCCCAAAATGCACCCTTTGCAACCGCCAGGAGATCATGGTGAAGAAGAAGACTCGCCGTGCTATCGGTCAGTACCTTACTTCAGGCCCTTCAGGCTCCCCTGACATGCAGTGAATGTGATGGTGTGATCCCCAAATGGCTCAAGCCAATTCTCATGGTGATGGTCTACAGGATCTGATGGCTTTGGGATCAGATCGTGGACAACTTGACATGTTTGGACTACATAGTTTTGTGCGGCTTCGTGCTTGCACACACACACACATCGCTGTTTAGGGAGTCTTGTCTTCCCAGAAGTGCCAATCAAGCAGGTTGGCAATGCAGCATTTCGAAAGACATCGCATGCCACCGCACCGAACGGCATGGGTCAAGGCAGCTTTCGGGAGCTCTGAGGCCGCATCTTGCTGAAGGGCGACAACATTTGTCTCATGATGAATACCGGGGCCTAGCGGCATCCTGAAGTGAACCGGGCTCTCTCGGCCCTTTCCCGGCGGCTTCCGGGCATCCACCCGAGTTTTGTGCGTGCGATGTGAAGTCTCAAATGTCTCAAATGTCTTTGTAGTTTGTTCGAATCTGCACACTTCAAATGGTCCCCGGATGGAAAGACACGGAGAAAAGCCTTGCCAACTTGCTTGCTGGACATGAGCACGGATTGCCGGGGTTGCAACGGCGTGAAGGATCATGAAGGAAGCAAGTGCCCTGCGGCTCACAGGGTAGCCCGTCGGCCCAGTTCCTGAGCGTTGTGACCATGCGATCAGCTCGCCATGGGCTCAGAGTGAAAGAGCCGTGGAATCTTCGAGACGAAGTCTTCCGAGTCCGAAGATGTTCAGCTCTGCTCCTGGCCGCGATGACAGGCGCGCGGACGCGAGCTGGTTGCCATGCGGCACCCCATGCGGCACGCCATGCGGCACGCCAGGCGTCCACGCAGAGAGCTTGGCTCAGACGCTGGACATGTACCGTGCCATGACCAAGCCAGATAAGGGCAAGGACGGAGAAGTGCTACTGGTGCAGTGCTCTTTTTTCATAGGATTCCAACAGCGCCTGCGTCGGAGCCCCAAACTGCAGGCCCCCTCGGCCGTTTCTTGCAAAAATGCGCCCACACCGTCACCAGCACCTCAAGCAGCCCCAAACTGCATGCCCCCTAGCGCCCGACCGTCAATCTTGCAAACATGCGCCCCACGTTACCAGCGCCTTAAAATGGCACCTGCACCAGCACCCAAAGTGCATGCCCCTAGCACCTGGCTGTCAATCAAGCAAAGGCGACCTGTTTTTTTGCTGTCTGGGGTCTATGCTGGTGTACTGTTTTTTCATTCTATTTGCATGTTTTCAAGGAGTCATTCCCAGTATCCAACAACAATCTGGCGGATGTGATGGGCGTGCTGCGTGCGGAGCTCGTGTACCTTTTTTTTCCCTTGATGTGCGCGATCTGCGCCAGGCTACGTGCACCAGGAAGTCATCGTGGAGCACGTAGCGGGTGATCCAGGCCGACCATCCAGGAGCCCTCTGAGCCCATGGCAAGTGCCCTTTCAGCCATCTGTCATTTGTCATATTTCTGACGGCAGGAAGTACAACATCAATGCCTTTGGCAAGTATCGCATGAAAGTGCGGAATCCGGATTCCATCCTGAAGGTCCGGGTTTGCTTAGGTTTGCTTGTTGGACAAATGCATCATTTTGCTCCTTTCTCAGGACCCTAGCAAGTTGGCAATGCCAGGCTTCGGACGTGTGGACCCTGGACGTAAGCCCAGCCGTCTTTGCATTGGCTTTGCTTAGGCTATGGAGCCTTCGACTATGGCGTTGGAACCTCTCTGGACGGGCGAAAGTTGTTAGCAAGAGGTGCAAATGTGCAGTGAATGTCCAGGACATGCTCCAAGGCGTCGTGGCAAACGGCGACTATGTGGGGGTGAGCAAGGAGGACGGCAAAGTCTATTTTCTTCTCCTTGTTTGTTCTCCGAAAGCAAAGCGACAGGACTCGCCGCAGATCAACTTCACCCACCCGTGGTACTGGTTCTCTGTAGATGGGGACTGCCCCAACTTGTTGGATGCCGAGAACGGCCACACATCCAGCCCAAAAGCGAACGGAGCGCTCGCCGAGGCCGTGGCAGTGCGTGAAGCCTTTCCCGGGCTGCGAGGCCGAGGCGGGTCTCTGCGAGACTCACGGCAAAGCCCGATCGTGTCAGTCGCGTCACTCGGATAAATGGCGATCGAGGCACCGCCAACCAAGCCCCAGCCCTGTGACCCGGACGGCTGCGCCGGGAAGCAGGATAAGGCGTGGATGTTCGATCGTTTCCACAGAGGCGGGGTTTTGTTCGGGGCAGGACGCCCGCAACTGTTCTGCCAGCCCACACTTCATCGATCCATCTGACACTGAGACGCTGCTCGGCCCAGAAACATGCATTAAATGGATACTTGGCTCACTTGGCTCACTTGGCTCATGCGAGATGGATTTGAGGGCGCGGAAATGCTGCCTGCACTACAGCTCTCATCCTGACCAGGCGTGACTCAGCTCTTGGGACCCGCGCGGGCGCGGGCGCGATGGGCGCAGGTCATCATGGGTGGCCTTTGCAACTCCTCCGTCAAGGAGCCAACTGGTGAGATCGGCTGCGTGTACACCTACGAGGTGAGAGGGCGAGTTTTAAGATCAGAGCCCTCTATCTGCCTTTTCGAGGAATTAGGTGACAAAGACTTCCTCAACATCGATGAGCTCAACGGCCGGGCAGTCAGCTCGCACGATTTTGTCTTCGATCTCATCCAAGGTATTACATCTATGCCGTGCGGTGCCAAAGGCAACAGGCGCACAATCGCAGTTGTCCGTTTGCGTGAACCCAGCAGTGTTTCACGCATGATGATGAAGAAAGTGCTTTGGATGTGTACGAGAAAACCGGGCGTGCAAAGGCATGTCTACGTGTTGCGCAAGCAGCCGGCACATGTTTAGTTCAAGAGCTCGAACCCAAACGACTTGATTTGTGCTACCATTAAAGGCACGAATGAAGCATGCAGGGCTTCTGGAGGCAGCTCGGAAAGTATTTCGCCTGGCTTTGGCAATTGCAGGAAGTGTACAGACTGGAAAGACTGGCGCCTCAACTGCTACGATCCAAAGAAGCAGCTTGTCTTTATTCGCGTTGGTCGACTGGCTTGACCTTATCAGATGTATGCCAGGCAGTTCAAAAAGCGCTACCACTGCGAAGACTGTCATTCTGCAGGGCAATGGAGTGTCTCGGTGCAGGCCGGGTCAGTTCGACCTCGATGCTCGTTGCTTCAAAGCTTGGAGGATACATCCTTCTGCGTGGAGTACGACCTGCACCCGTACTGCCAAGAGACGCAAGACCTTTGCAAGGAGTCGCGGTTGATGAAGTGCTTGCCTTTCGTCTGTTTGCTTTTCATTTTTCTTTGGACTTTTGTTTCGAGGACCCGCGCTGCATGGCCCTGAAGCCCGAGGACAAGGAGCTTGGGCTGCCGTTCTGGAAGGGGAAGTGCGAGGTGCGGTCGCATCGTCAGATCGCGGTCCCACGTGGATCCGTGTGGATCCATGTAGCATGTCGAGGTGCGCGACAACCAGCGCCGGGCAGAGGCGGTCGCGCGCCCTGGCAGCAAGTCTTCAACTCCCACCTTGAGGGGATTTGTATTTCCTTTTCGTTTTAAAGCAAACTACGCATGTTGTTTTCACTTTCGGAATGTCAGGGGGTACTTCCTGAAGGATGCGGTGAAAGACTCGCACTGGTTGGTTGACAAGGCGCTTTGAACATGCAAAAGGGCCACAAATTCAAGCGACTGAAGACACATGATTGACGGAGAAGCTTGATGCGGGGCTTGAGCAAGCAGCAATGAACACTACCCCAGATGAACGAGATAGTGGGACCGCCAAAATTCGATCATATGTCATTCAGTCCTTCATCAAGCTTTGCCATTGCGCAGGCAACTATGGATGCAAGCCCTGCATGCTCTTCGAAAGACTCGTCCGTGCCCAGCTCTCATTTGAGAGACTGGCCATGCGCACGCAAAGGGTGTCTTTGCAGGCCGAACCAGTGCACTCCCAACCCTGATGGTGGCCCTTATTGCACCCGTCTCTTCGGTGAAAGGCTCAGCTCTGCGATTTCCCGGATCCGCCGCTCCGGATCCGGATTGCGAGAGATGCGATTGCGAGAGATGAGAGGCGAATGCCTAGGTGGCGTGTGCTCGACTTGCTACATCCCCGGCACCGACCCGTGTCGCCCTCGGTCCGGGCCGTGCGCGCTTGCGCGCTTGCGTGCTTGCGCGCTTGTGCGCTTGCGAAAAAGCGCGGCTGTAGGCCCTATCCCGACCCAAAGTCTCAGCCAGGGAGCCCAGTTAGCGAGCTCAAGTCCGGCTTTGTTTCAGCGAGCGAGAGCCGCAGGCCGATGTGCCCCTTCACCGTCCTCAAGGCCTTGGCCTCCCAGACTGCCAAACGCTCTGCGAGAGCTGCCAGGAGAAGGGCAACACTCCCCCAACCGAGACTAAATGCGCGGACGACGATCCCTTGAAGCTTTGCTGCCTCTACGGCAAGGGGCCCAGATTTGGCCCGCGCTTTCCATTGCTACTTGAATTTCGCTACTTGAGCTCACTTGTGTCTTGTGTTTCTTGTGTCAAGCGAGGCATTGGCAGCTGCAATGTCACGGGCAGCGACGGCTCCGATTCAGAGTTGACTGCAGCTGGCTTTCTGAACGTAGCGAGGACCCCGACCCACGCCAACTCTTTTCAACGAAAGAATCCTTACATTGCGTCTTGCCAGGATGATGGACAACAAGGCAGGCAAGTGGTCGTGACGGTTAAGGGACCCACCTCGAGTCAGGAGATGGTGAAGTTTGCTGGGCGGATTGTCTCGGGAAGGGGCGGAGCCATCAAGAACCAGGCGCCTGTGCATTTCTCTCAAGAGGGCGACCAGATTTGTCGCACAGGGTGGCTTTGATTCCGCCGTGTACTCCACCTGGCACTACCAGCCACCCACCAATCCCCAGGAGGCGCACGGATGCCGGCACGGGAACTTTGGAGGCTTGTTTTTGCCCAGGCATGGACGAACTTTGAGACTCTCATCAATCAGTCCTCCGATGTGGACTGGCATCCAAGCCCAGACGGTCCGAGTGGCAAGCCAGGTTAGGCACTGAGCCACGCGTAGCGTCATATCACGTAGCGGAAAGACTGAAATGGACCCCAAGTCTGCCGTGTGGGTCGCGTGGTTCGTGTGGTTCGTGTGGTTCGTGTGGTTCGTGTGCATGTCTGGGTCTTTCAGGCTCGAATGCCTGGATCTGGATCTTGCTCGCCCTGGCACGGAGCCAAGCTGAGTGAGCCGAGCGAGAGTGCATGCGCCAGGTGGTGCTGGCAGGGCTTGGCTTCGCAGCCTACAAGTATCGCGCGAACTCGCAGCAGCAGGCGGGGCCGGCATTTGGCTTTGGCTTGAGCCAGCGACAGATGCGACAGATGCGACAGGCCCGGCAGCAGCTGTTGCCGAGCGACAGCTCGCAAGTGCAGATGAGGAATTGAGCACCTCGAAGTCCGCAACGTTCCAGTTTCTACAGTGTCACGGTGCTGCAGCCAGTGAGCTGTGGCCAGGTTGCAAGCACCTTTCGAAGCCCGGACAGTTTAATTGTCCCGTTAGTGTCAAGGCCACTGGCCGCCAAGCTTTGCTCTGGATTGTTCAATCTTGTGACGGTTGTGTTTTGCGAAGTTTTTGAAACTTTGAGCAGGGCTGGCCCTTTCAACAGCATGTTGGTGCTGCGATTGGTTTTGCTGAGGCTTACTCAGTGTGGGCAAAAAAAATTGTTGACCCGTGACCGACGCTTTCTTTCCTCTTCTCAGAATTCTTGCAGTCAGAGTTGGACGTTGTCAGCAGCTGTGGCTGTAAATGGAGCAATCTTCGTATGGACTTTGTGGCACTGCAGTTTTTACTGAAAGCCCCACCCAATGCAACCAGCTCGGTCAAACCCATCAGGGCATCTCAGGAAAGTCCAAGCTCAGCTCTGAGCCCTCGCCTTTAGCCGTTGCCATGGACCCCGAACTTGAAGAGGAGGACGGATGGTTTTTTTCTGCTCACTGCACGCAGTCAGGATGTCCACTCCGAACATGCGCCCCGTCGGACTCCTCGGAGTCGTCTCGGAGCCGTCGGGCTCGGCAGGCGCGGGCGCTGGTGGAGTCCGCGGTGGCCTTCGTGGCGAGCGCGGACGTTGGCCTCCAGGGTCTCCCGGAGGCCGGGGAGCTGCGGCGCCAGTGGCGGCGGGTGGAGGAGCTGCGGGAAGAGACGCAGGCGGTTTCGAAGGAGGGCTCGAAGCCGTTGAAGCCGTTGAAGCCGCTGACGCTGGCGCTGGCTTTGGTGGAGCTGGTGCTCTTCCAGACCGTGAAGACGGAGCTGGCCGGGCGGTGTGCGGCGCTGGCCTACCTGCCCAGCGTCCGCCAGCAGATGGTCATGGCCCGCCTCGGGGAGGTCCTGTGGACCGTGAAGGATGCCCTGGAGCTGGCCAAGGATGCCGAGGTGCGAGCCCTTTCCCGAAAGATCCAAGAGTAACGAGAATTCAGAGATCGACGGACGGATAGAAACCAAGGACAAGCACGCCGAGGTGGCGGCCCTCAAGGCAGGGAACAAATGCGAGACGGAGTGTCCAGGTTTTCGGTTCTGAGGCCCTCGCTCGGGTGCACTTGAGCCGCCTCAAGGAGCTGGATGCGCCGGTGGCAGCCATCACTGAAGCCACGAAGGCGCGACCAGGTATAAAATGGTTTTATAGTTTTATGATCGTTTTATGATCGTTTTATGATAGTTTTATGCGTTTCCATGTCATCCTTGTCAGTGTGGCACGCACGGCACGTCTTTGTCATTTGGCAGTTTCGTTCTAGCACAGGCTCTCGGCGTCTTGGAGTCTCTCGGTGAGGACCGGTTGACCATCGTGAAGCGTGGCAAAACTCGTTGCAAGCTCAGGCCAACACCAGGCTGCATGCGGAAGTGCTCTTTGTCCTGGGTGACTTGGCCTCTGTTGAGTCGCATCAGATGTTGAGTCGTGGAACCGGATTGGTCGGATGGGTCGGTTTTTGCTCGGATTGGTGCAAGCCCAGGCGACGCCCAGCTGACGAAGGCGCTGCAGTCGCCCTTCAGCGCGGCCCGCGAGGAGGCGCTCGAGGCTGCGGCCAAGACCATGCGGGACGCGGCCGAGGCCGTCGGGACTCGGGACTGGCACAAGAGAAACTAGGAAAGGGGGAGAGCATGGGAGAGCGGGAGAACAGCCGAAGAGAAGGCTTCTCACTTCAGTGTGGGGCATTTTGCTGCCTGTTTTGTCTTGCGAATGACCTTGTACATAGAGCCAGCACCTTCAGATTCAGGTCTACCGCAAGCTCGAAGACCAGACGTGGCAGGGCCGGGCGATGCTTGGAGCCGCTTTGGCGCTGGTAGGCGCGGTTTTGGGGGCTTTGGCCGATGCGTTCGGCTTTGCTTCAAGGCCTGGAGGATGAGGATCAGCAGATGGATGGTGAGAGACTGGCTGAGGATGCCAAGGACGGCGACTTTCTTTTTAGCGGTCGCGGTCGCGCCGTGTGAATGAATTTCTTGCCTGAGGATTTGTTCCACGATGCCGGCGAGCTGTTTGCCTAGCGTGTTTAGAGACTCTATCCAGATCCCTAAACCCGAAATCCGCGCGCCAGGGACTTGGAGGTGGTGGCCATGATGCTCATCGTGAAGCCTGGCGCTCGGGCGAGCCGCTCGAGCCCTCGAGCCGACTGCAGCCGACTCGAGCCGACGCGCGACTCCAAAGAGTTGGACTGCGGAGGTGTCGCATCACTACCTCTGGCCTGGACTGCGCCCTCCTCTCCGCGGAGGCGGGACTCGAAGACTCGAAGACTCGAAGACTCGGATCGAATGGAAAGCACCTGACTCGAAAGCACAAGCTGAAGACTCAGGATGCAGCTGAAGACTGGAAGGAGGAAGGTGGCAGGCGCTTGGTATTGGATGCACAAGATGCAAGGGACTGGACCCAAGGCCTACGCACCTGGCCATTGCGCTGCACACAGCTGCTTCCATCTACTTCCAACTGAAGGAGCAAGTCCGGAAGTCCGGAAGTCCGGAAGTCCGGAAGTGTCCGAGTGAGCCGACATCGCAAGGAGGGCTTGGACAAGGCAGCCCTCTTTTGCACTGAGGTGCGCAGTTGCCAGGCGGGCTCCCGGGTTAGTCCAAGTTCCAAGGCTCTGGAGCTTTTCCGGTCTGCCGGGTGGCGCCGAGCTGAGGCGAGGTAGGTGAGCCGAGACATCGAAAGAGTCCCCGTGCCAGACCGCCGTCCTGCAGATGTTGTCTCGAGTGGAGTCCCGCAACCTCAACTTCGACAAGAGCATCAAGTGCATCAATGAGGCGAATCGAATGGATGTTCGAATGTCTGGCCTCGCAGCCTGGCAGGCCGTGGTGAACTGCCGTGAGATGAAGGACATGAGTGCCGAGCCACCGTGCCGACGTCTCTGCACGCTCAGGACACGCGGGGCGAAGCAGAGGCCTTGGCCTACCAAGCCGAGGCGGTGCTGAACAAGCTGAATGCGGAGGAGCTCAGAAAAGCTCAGAGAAGCTCATGAGCGCTTCCGAGTCGAACAGACCCGTCCAGGAGAACATGCTTTCGGCCGCGGAGCAGCAGGCCTTGGCGGACGAGGAGCGACACAGCCCGGGGCGGTTTCTCAGAGCCGAGCCTCCCGCTCGTTCAGGGCAAGCAGTGCTCCGACAAGGCCAGGGACATGTTCCAGGAGTTGGACGACAAGGAGGGCATGCAGATCGTGGACGAGGATAGGGCCGATAGGGCCGATAGGGCCGATAGGGCCGATAGGGCCGATAGGGCCGATAGGGCCGATAGGGCTGATAGGGCCGATAGGGCCGAGCGAGCTGCATCCAGAGCCAGGTCACTTACATCTCCACGAATGTGGCGGTGGAGAAGTATTGCGAGGCTTGGCCTTGCGCCTTGCGCCTTGCGCCTTGCGCCTTGCGCCTTGCGCCTTGCGCCTTGCGCCTTGCGCCTTGCGCCTTGCGCCTTGCGCCTTGCGCCTTGCGCCTTGCGCCTTGCGCCTTGCGCCTTGCCTGGTGCCGGGCAGGCAACGCCGCCCACTCGCGTCATCACCACCCTGCAGTCCGACGGCCGTGGCGGCAAGGAGACCTTTGGTGCGCGGGGCTCAGCGGTTTCAACGGTTAGGAGTTCCGAGGGCTTCCGAGGGCTTCCGAGGGCTTAGGCTTAGGAAAGCTCTTTCGGAGGGAAGCCCGAGAAAGTTGAAAGCTGAGGAGTGGATCATCGACCGCGGAGAGATGGACCCTCTGAAAGTGAGGAGGCTGATGAAGGAGGGCCGTTGCTCAGGGCCGGTGATATACACCTGAGGCTCGTTAGCCCCTTAGATAACGTCGTCTTTTCTTGCCGGAAAAAGCTCGTCTTTGCAAGAGCCGACTCGGTTGGCCGGCCGCGTGCGCCATTTGCCCGTTCAAGTCAAGCATCAAGCAGTCTCGGTGCAGCTTTCCCCACCCTAGCGCCACTTCTCTGTTTGTTTTCTTTTCTGGCTAACCCAAGCGCTCCCGCCATGTTATGGCGTTGAAGGCGCAGCCGCTGCTCAAGCGCCTGGGCCGGATCGCAGTTTTGCATGCTTGTCGCTCTCCATTGTTTGACCTGGTCACTCCTTTGTATCTATTGTACTTCTCCGGCTTCCCAGGTTCTCTGACAACTGCGCGACTTTGGCCCCGGAGGTTGCCAACACGTTGCAAATCAAAGGGGTGCTTTTCCCTCCCCACGAATCGAACAGATTCATGGGGCCATGACTTTCTTTTTGATTCAGGGAGCTGAGCTGGTGCGAGCGCTGCCAGGAGCGCCAGGGCTATGCGTTTGGCTTTGAGAGAGCGCAGCACAGGACAGATTTGCCCAATCATCTTCGTGGGCGATGGCCGGAGCGGGAAGTCCTACTTGGCTTCCTGCTTGGTTGGCGCCGAAGAGCCTGGACGTGCGATTTCTGTATGCCACTGTTTACAGGAAACATCAACAAATCTGGTTATCTGCTTGTCGACTTTGCGTTTTTTCACTTCCTTGCCTGTTCCCGAGTGAGGATGCCTTCACTTCCAGCGACTCCGCAGAGTCGGTCACGGAGGGAATCGACGTCGTGGCGGTTCCCGTGAGCCAGCTTTCGGAGGCCCCGAGAGTCTCCGCAGGCAGAGACTCAGACGTTCGACTTGTGGAGGCGAGCGGGCCGGAGCATCTCTTGGTCTTTGACTGCGAAGGCGGCAACAACGCTTTGGCTTGGACCTAAGTTGTATGCCGATGCTTCAAAAGCCAAGCCTGTGAGTCCAGCGCCAATGCAAGCTTTTCCTGACGGTGGGCCTCGGCGTTCAGTCCTTTGCGTTTTCGAGGGAAGAGTTCTGGCCTGAAGAGAAGCATTTTCCGGTTCACTACAAACAGGACCAGGACCAAGAAGCCAGGATAGAGAGCACATAGCTTGCAGGTGGTGCTGGATGACTGTAGTTTCACTAAACATTGCCGTGTGTACTTTTTAGGCCTGCAAAATGTTTGGGTTCGCTGGCGCTCGTATTTGCTCACGATCGTCTTTGTTTGGCTTCCATCGTTGTGAGGCAAAATAATGTCCGCGCTTGTCACACATGCCACGGACGGATACAACATTGCCAAAGACGGACGGTAGTGGCTGTGACATAATTATATAAGAATCGCAAGCGCATTTGCGTACGAGACGGAAAGAGTTGCGGACGAGGCGGCCATTCGGACCCTTGTGAACGTCTTCGGCTTGCTGCTGGGGAGCCAGGCATCGGGAACTGAGCTCGATTCTAGGTGATAGCTTGCCAGGCGCCGCTCAAAACGACAGCATCAACAGCTCACGGTGTGTCTAGTTCACATCCACGTCTCATCCGATTTTTTTTGGAGCGACTTCTCCTTCGGCTCACTCGGACTCGGCTCACTCGGACTCGGCTCACGTAATTGTTTTTTGCGGCCAGCCGTAGGTGGCCTTCGTGGCGAACGGCATGGCCACGGAGCAGGCGCTGCAGACGCTGGGCATGTCGCTGGCCGCGCGGTCCCTGGTGCGCCTGGAGGGCGCGGAGCTCCCAAAGCAGGATGGGCAAAAGCGCGAATGGTGAAAAGAGAAGGGTCGGAAGTTTGGAAGTTTGGAAGGGACCCTAATGAAAGGAGAGTTGCAGAAGTCGAACATCGGGACTGGCTTCTGAAGGGGCCTGGGATCATGTCAGGAGCTCGTGTTCGTGGTGAACAAAAACACCCTGCGCTACGAAGGCTCTGCACTCGAGAAGATTCTGGAGCAGAAGTTTGACGACCCCGGGCGTCAGGACAGTGGAAGGTGAAGCCGTGAAGCCGTGAAGCCGTGGAGCCCGCTTGGCTCTCAGCTGACAGGAGCTCCGGGACACCGTCAGGGAGTGCTTCCCTGAACGGAGCTTCTTCACGGCCAGCGGCCAAGACGACTCTCGTCTTGCTCGGCCTTCGGCTCACGTGATTTGAACTCTCGCAGAGTTCGCGAGGTTCCGCTGATGGGCATGCCCGCCTTCGAGGATTCCCTGAAGTCCCTGCGCGCGCATCTGGTGGACCGCAGGAAGCCCCTGCAGATGGGCGGCATGCCTGTGAGCGGAAGGCGCGTGAGCTTGCTTCGAAGCTTTTAAGAATCAATTGCATGACCAGAACGAAGGTCGTCAGCTTCACAAGTTGTCTGAGTCATTTCGGGTCTGTGTCACGCTCGCGAGGCAGTTGGCTGGGGTCATGGAGCTCATCGTGGCCGAAGTGCAAGCCACGCAGGAAATCTCCCTGCCCTCCATGAACAGGCCGGGCGCGAGTCCATGCGAGAGATTTGCAGAGATTCGCTGCAGTCTCCACGGCTTCACTGGCCTTTTGGAAGTCGTAGGTATGTCATCTTCGAAGGCCTGGCGCATGCAATCCGACCTGATCTGAGCCATGCCCAATGGCAATCCGCAGGCTTCCTGTTGCCCCTGACCAATGACCTGGTGGACTTCGCGCAAGGGCAACTGCCCGAAGTGGTGGACTACGACCCCTGCCTGGCGGAGAGGACACTGTCAATTCCGTTGCAATTTCACCGTTCCACTGACTCTGTGACCCCGGACTCCGGAGCTTCTTTATTTTGAGTTCTGTTGGCAGGAACCCCATTGAGAGAATCCTGCGGCGCTTTGACGAGTCGAGTGCACACGTGGGCAACGTTACACTGAAAGCAGAGGCGTCCGGTTTGCTTGTAGACTCGTAGTCTCATAGTCTCGTAGACTCGTCTTTGGCTGAAGGCTCGGCAATTGCTGGCAACGAAGCTCTGGGACCTGTGGCACTGGGTGGAGGCAAAGAGCGAGGCGGTGCACGCTTCACAGGGCATGGCAGTTTGTTTGAATGTGGGCAGGCAGCGGCCCATCCAGATACTCGTAATTCCGTGATGTTTCCTTCCGCCCACCCCCCGTTCTTGTTAACCTCGTGTGCAAGCGCCGCGTTTTTGGAGGCCTTGGGGAACGAGGTGTGCGACACCGTCCAAGAGGCGCAGGAGGTGGAACTCAGCCGCTCCAAGTCGGTGGTCGGTGGCTACGGGCTGCTCAAAGAAGTCGCCGCCCTCCTGCGAAGGGCTGGATGAAGTTGAGGTAGACAGGTTCTCTCCAAAGAAAAAGACTATGCGGAACGGAAATGGGGCGTTGGTTTTTCCGCCAAACCCTGAATCCGACACGCTTCTGCTTGCATCGCTCAGTGCGCTGGCATGCGCTCACTGCGTTAGGTCGTGACAAAGCAGCTGTTTCGGGAAGAAGGGCGTACTGTCCTTCACAGGAAGAGAGGCCCAGGTCGCCTCTCACTTCACGCGAGTCTTGATTCAGTCCAGGTGGCGACCCAGAGCGACTGCCCTGGAAGACGCTTGGCACCACCGTGACAAGGACCAAAGAGTCGGCCTTCGACTTGCTGCCATCCTTGCCCATCCTCAAGGACTGAAGAGTGCCACCAGCAACATAAACTCATGCACACACCTTTTGGAGTACTCCAGACTTAGCCTGTTGTCAAACTTCAGGTTCCTGTTCGACAAATGCAAGGCTTGCAGAGAATTGCAGTGTAGCCCTGCACGCACATTCTTGGGGCACATGCCAGTTTTTTTTTTGGTGAGAGGAGCAAAGCATAGCTAGAACATGAAATCTGTAGTTGCTTTGCTTTCTGAGGAGGGGGGGAATGCACAATTTTGTTTGTACACATATGTAGATGTATATTCATCGGAAATTTCAAAAATACAAAAACTATAGTTCTCTTGCTTTTTGCTTTTCAATGTTCTTTCTCGTTCTCTTTCTCTGTCTCTTTCTTCTCTTTTCTTTTTCTCTTTCTCTTTCTCTTTCTCTTCTCGTTTCTCTTTCTCTTTCTCTTCTCGTTTCTCTTTCTCTATATTTTTCTCAATCTTCTATATGTTTTCTCTTTCTGTTTCTCTTTCTCTTTTTGTTCTCTTCTCTTTCTCTTTCTCTTTTTGTTTTCTTTCTCTTTCTCTTTCCTTTCTCTTTCTCTTTCTCCTTCTTTTCTCTTTTCTGTCTCTTCTTTTTCTTTCTCTTTCCCTTTTCGTTCTCTTTCTCTTTCTCTTTCTCTTTCTCTTTCTCTTTCCTTTCTCTTTCCTTTCTCTTCCTTCTTTTCTTTTTTCTGTTTCTTTATTTTTCTTTCTCTTTATCTTTCTCTTTGTCTTTCTCTTTCTCTTTTCTCTTTCTCTATATTTGTCTCTTCCTTCTATATGTTTCTCTTTCTGTTTCTCTTTCTTTCCTTTTCTCTTTTTCTTTCTTTTCTCTTCTCTCTTTCTCTTCTCTTTTCTCTGTTCTTTCTGTCTTTCTTGCTTTCTTTCTTTGTATTTGTCCTTTCTTTCTCTTCCTTTCTCTCCTTTTCTCTCTAATTATTTTTCTTTTGTTCTTTGTAATTCTCTCTCTTTCTCTTGCTCTTTCTTCTTTCTCTACCTTGTGAGAGCACTGCGCCTGCCACGAAATCCTCACTTCGCCTTGCGAAAGTGCTGCGCCTGCCACGAAATCTACACCTGACCTCGCAAAAGTGCTACGCTTGCCACGCAATCTGCACCTCGCCCTCCGCATTGCCATTTCTATTCCCCGACACACCCCCACACATGGTTTCTCGCATGCGCGTGTTCCTTCTTCATCTTATTTGTTCCTATCTGCACACGTCACACGCCATCGTTTCGCATACGCCATCCGACCCTCTGTAAGCCATTGGCAAGAGCTATCTTTTCGTGCTCGCTGTGTGATCTTCTGAGTCTATCTATCTGCGCAAGCTACCTTTCACTTAATTTCTGTGCTACGGAAGTTCCTTTTATATGCGCTAGTGTCATGCGCTAGCATGGCACTTGGTCGGACAAATGAAATCGCACGTTCAGCTTGAAGATCTAACCTGACCCCTGAGAACCGTGACCCAAGAGCTAAAAGATACGTTAGCTCTTTAGCTTTCAAGAGAACAACAACCTTCTGATTTCTTGCAAATCTGGCTCAAGGTTGAGCCGGGATCAACTTGCAGGCGCCACAGTGCAAATTGAATCTCATAAATTTCATATCGTTTGTTCAACCGTACCAAGTTTCAAAAGGAACATTCTCAGAAATTCAACAGCCACGCGCTTGTTCCAAAGGAAGACTTTGGACACGCTGATGTGTCTCGACCCTGGCCTTGGTGGGATGAACATGGTGAGCAGCGCTGTGTCACACCCAATGATCATCACTAAACCGGTGGCACTTGCGCAGCTTGATTCACCTTCGCAGTCTCATAATCTCCTCCTTCGGCCAAGGGGGCCCCACTCTCCACTTAAAAACGTCAATAAATCGCATGTCTGACGTTTAATTTTCTGCTTTGGGAACAGCCTGGCCAGAACAAATTGGCAAGCTGGAAAACTCCGCGGAAAACTTCGATCAATGTGGTGGAATTTGTCAGTGCAAAAACTCGGTGCAACACTTTGGAACATCCCGGCAGAAAAGGCGGGGCGCAAAACAAGGCGACAACCCGGCGAAAGACAAAGCCGGGCAAGCTCGGAAGATCCGAGTCACCCAGAAGCGACAGCAAGGTCAGGCCGGGGCAGCTTGATGGTCGCACGGGCATTGCCGCTGTACCGGGCCGCTGCTACAAGATTTGCACCTGCGCGGAAAGGTCACGGAATTCTGGCTGGAAATGGCAAGCGCTGGCCGGAAAAGCTCAGAACAACTCGGGAAAGCTCAGTGGAGGAATTGCGCAGAAAATCCCGGAAACGTGTCAGCGGAAAACTTGGACCAATTAAGCGGGCAAGTGGGACAAACCAGGTACGTGGGAAACTCGGCCGTGCGAAATTTAGTGGGGCTGGCTG